GTGATATCAAGTTATCTCTACAAGCCTCAAAGACGGAGGTGAATCATTTAAAAGAGCTTCTAGATAAGGAATCTAATGTATGCAATGCTCTTAAATCAGAGCTGCAGAAGACAGTAGAGGAACTTCAAAGAGTAAACAGTACTACTGCTTCGCTAATGGAAGAGCGTGAAGAGATTGCCGCACAATTACGACTTGCGCAGAGTGACGCCACTGCAATATCGCAGGCGGCACGTGTGCGTCAGTCGGAGTTGCAGTCGGAGGCACTGGCGGCAACTGTGCGGGAACACCGTGCGTTAACTCTCGCTGCGGCGCTGGAGCGATCTCTCTTACTTGCGGTCTCCAATAAGGCGGAGTGCACCGCCCGACTGCGGCTTCTCACAATGAAAACAGAAGAAGAAAATACGAATTCCAATGAAGTCTATGAACTCTATGAAAGACGATTGAAAGAGCAGTTGTTAGCATCTATGGCACTTATCGCCCGCAATGCCTCCCACATGTTGGCACGTCGTTATTTATCACATTGGGGTCGTGTGTGTTATTTGACGCGCTGTCAACGAATGGCACGTCTGCAGCGTGAGAACAGAGAACGGCAGCGGGAACTCACACTGTGGTGTGAACATCTTTCTCTCGCTAACAGCGGCGGTATATGGGGAGATGCGGGAGAGCAGGCAGCGGCAGCAGCCGTAGGGAATATACACAGTACGGCCACCACACGAACAAGAACTCCTCTTGCCATAACTGGTACTACTAATACTAATACTATTAATACTAATAATAATACTATTAATACTACTAGAGCAATATCAGAGAGAAGGAATCGTAGTAGTACTACTGCTGCTAGTGGTTCTCGTACAGTTGTGGATACCGCAGAAACGGACACCGTGACACAGTTAGACGCAAAAGATGCTCATTCACTGCTGGACTTGAGATGTATGTTGACAAGAGAGCGTGAAATAACTGCGAAACTTATATTGGAGCGTAATGCATTGCGGGAGGCATTGCGGGATAGCACGGCAGTCAATACTGAACTGCTCCAGCAGCTGGAAAGTAAACTCGAGTCAACGTCTCACCCAGCGGCGGTGTAGGTATTACCAGTTATGGAAGCCAAGGCAATAATAATAAAAGAAAACAAGAAAAAAAAAAATCATCCACTGTAAGCAGTGAATGAAGAAGAAAATAAGAAAATAAGAAATTTGGTAATAGTCTTGGCGGATAGGAGAAAAAAAAAAAAAAACAACAACGACAAACCAAAATAAGTGCAGATATAAAAAAAAGTTTCTGTACAATTATCGTTAAATGCATAACTTTGCTTTTCTTTTTTATATTTCGTACTCGTTTTAGTTATTATATTTTGGAGGACCAAAGTAACTATTCTTTTGATGGTCCCTTTCTGCGGCACAGTGCGTGCCTTGACGATTATTTTTCTACTTCTTCTACTAGTGTGATAAATATTCAATTTATCTCAAGTATTTGTTTCTTTTTTTCCTTATTGGTTCACCTCACCTCCTTTCTTAATATACCTCTCTTTTTTTGTCTAATATAAATATATATTTTTGGCTTTAGCGCTGTACCGTTATCGTTTTTTTGTTGTAAGTTTTTTTTTTTTTTTTTTTAATTCCTTTCACTTTGCTGTTTTTCAGTGTATTTGTGTGTATAGTTTTCTATATATCTGCCTTTGTAAAAAGGTGAAGAGATTGAATGCGCTTCCTTTTATTATTATTATTATTATTATTATTATTATTATTATTATTATTATTCAGGTGTGATACTTTTATTCCTACTCTAATCTATTGATACTCTTCTTACATCCGTGCCACTCTCTCTCTCTCTCTTTCACTCATACATTACACACATGGGTCTTTTTTAATTTATTTCTTACAATACTTAGCGGATATTAAATCCCACAAAAGATAAAGGAGCAAACAATAATAAAAAAAAAAGAGAAAAGAAAAAAAAAGTCAAAATAACTACTTCAAATGAGTCAGGAACATCAACGGGGTGTTTTGGGTAATGTGATGACTGATGTGACTTCTATCTTTAGTGATATTGACGGTACACTCGTACACTACGCACATACGATGCGGAAAATGGGATACTCTCCTCTCTCGGATGAGGAGCGAGAAAAGGAAGAGATACACATGCAGGAACATCAAGAGAAACTGGATAAAGAAAAAAATACACCTCCGTTTAATTCTATAAATAAAGTTGAGGATATTGTGCAGTCTCTCTTACATTGGCGTTACCCTGGAGAAATGCGCCGTGCACGTTTTAAATCACTACCGTTGCAGTTATGGCGTCACCACCTAACGGGTCGTATTCTTCGTATGTATGAATTATACAACAAAACACTCCAAGGTGCACTTATCTCTGAAGACACAGTACTTTTCCTTGAGTTTATGCAAGACTTGCCAACTGTATTGGTTTGCAACGGCTATACATTGCGGCATGAGGACTCATTGCTCGTAGCTCTTATCACCGGTGCTCGTACAACCACATATTGTAATCGCCGTATAAGTGGGGGATTACCACAATCTACGTATGAAGCGTGTGAAGGGGGAGGCAAACTGTGGTGCCGTAGGCGTTCTTCTTCTTCTTTATCCTCCACTTTTACTACTACTACTACTACTACTACTACTACTACTACTACTACTACTACTACTACTACTACTACTTGTTGTCGTGATAATAATGGTGGTGATCTCTTTTTACCAATGCTTTATCCACACGATGCGGAGATACCACTTGATACACGTTGGCTGCAGCGATTCAACGCCATTACCGGCGCCTGTGATGTTATGATAACAACAACAAAAGTAACTGAAGGAAAAAAGAAGTCAGGGCCGTTGTGGGATGTTTTTGAGTTACTGCGTGCGGATGGCTTCACTGTGGATGATGTTGATATGACCACATCGTTTCTCATTGATATTCCCCGAAGTCCGGCAGTAATGACTGGTGGACGTTTTAACAGTGCGGCAGAGGCGGAGCGTTACTTGGCGGCGCAGTTCGACAATGTGTGGGGTCCAATGTATGGTGTTGTGATGCATGTGAATCTCGGTAAAGGCCAGGTGAATGCGGCGGGTTGTGGAAAGAAGGAAGTGATGACATACATATTGGAAGAGTCAGAGGTATCCTTTTTATCCTCCCAACAACAACAACAAGAAGAAGAAAAAGAAAAAGAAAAGGGAAGAAAAAAACCTCTGGTAAAGAGGGATGCAGTGGCGTTATTTGATGATTGTAATGATATCCCATTCGCTGTGGAGTGTGGTGCTGGTCTCTTGCCCTCTGTTGCCCACGAGGAGGTCCTCCTGCATGAGTCTGCAAACCATCATTGGTTTAGAGCCCCACATGATGGTCCACTTGGTACTGAATGGGCACTACAACAGATACTTCTCTTTCTCATGACGAAAGAAAAGGGTAAATAATATGAAAACGGTATTGATATTGCAAGAAATACCAGCAGAAGTTATATCCGGAAGAATAATAAATAAAATAATTAACAAGAAGAGCAAAAAAAAAAAAAAAAAACCCTAACCGTAATAGCAGAAGGGATTTTGATATTCTGTTAGTTGCTTCTATACCCTATTGGTTTCTTTTTTTTTTTGCATCTATAGTTTCTGTATGTGTGAGTTGGGGTTTTGTTCTGTTTTTTTTTTTTATTATTCTTTCTATCGGTTTGACCTCAGGTTTGGAACGAATTTAGGTAATAACCTTTTCAAATGTTGTACTATATATTTTCTTATTTTTATTACCTTTTAACTCTTCTTGTTGTGAGTGCAATCTATTCTGTACTTGTGTGATTTCATTTCTGGGCTACTTTTTCTTTCTGTTGCGAATAGGCACTTTCCCCCATCCCCCCAAAAAATTCCCCAAGGGTACAACACCAACGTAAAGATTTGTACCTATACACATTACACATATATATATATATATTATAAAGGAATAAAAAAAAAAAAAGCATCGGCAAAGTTCAAGACGTCAAGAGGGGGAAATGAAACGGGGAAAGTCCCTCCGAATGCGCCTTGATGGTGAAGTGACTGTGCGACGCCTAATACCTCCACAGTTACGCACAACGGCTAGTATTCGCAAAGGCGAGTTAATGGAGCCAATTGAAAATATAGCTGAACGTATTGGTGTACAAACGGAGTCTATTGAGGGACTTGTGGACGCACAGGGACTCACAATCTTTGGTAAACTCCAGGACGGTATAGAAGTCTTTCTTGCCGGCTCCATAGCACCATGCGTCAGCGATAGCAACAGTAACATAAACCATAATAAGAGTAATATGAATACTAATGAAAACTCCTGTCAAAAATTCTCTCAACAACCACCGGATGTCTCTGTTGGATGGGCGTACGATGCACGAATGCTACTTCACGTTCCCCCACTTGATCGTGTACCAGAGACACCGTATCGTCTACAACGGGCTGTAGAGTCCTTGCGCTCAACACCACGTGCTATGGAACTTCTACCAGAAGAACTGCGTCGTCTAGGAGAAGTTGATACAACAACAAAAACAAAAGCAGATTCTATAAAGAAGACTCATAATGTATTTGCATCGTACTGGTTACCACCACGACTGGCTACACTCGATGAGATTACGCTATGTCATGATGCAGAACGTTACCGTGAGTTTATTGAACATGGTACCCCACTGGCTCCACCACTGAAAACAGATGTATACTGCAATGATGGCACTAGTAGCGTTGCGACACGTCTCTCTGTGGCTGCTGTTATTGATGCTGCACGCCGTGCACTGCAGGGATCGCCGCCATTCTCCATGTGTCTTGTGCGGCCACCGGGTCATCATTGCACCGCCACCACACCTGGTGGTTTCTGTCTCGCCAACAATGTTGCCATTGCGGCCCGGCAGCTGCTGCAGGATTGGCGTAATGAAAACAAGAAGAATATGAGTTGTGGTGGGGGTGTGAAGTCGTCATGTTCGCCGCCACCCCGTATTGCCATTGTAGACCTTGATGTGCATCACGGCGAAGGGACGCAATCGTTTGTGGAGGAGGAACCACCAGCCGACGGTTGTAGTGTTTCACCGTTGTTGTATCTCTCTCTCCACCGCTACGATCACGGCACCTTTTACCCCCGCGACCCCCGCGGCAGCACCGACTACGTGGGCCGCCACCGCAATGTGTGCAATGTCGCTGTTCACACCGCCGCGGCGGATCCTGCGCGGTGCGTGGAGGTTGTGAGCGACGATGTGTTTGCGCGGGTGGTGGACGATGTGTTTGTGCCGCGGCTGCGGGAGTTCCGCCCCGACGTGGTGCTGCTCTCACTCGGCTTCGATGCCGCGTACGGCGATCCACTCGGCCGCATGGCGGTGGAGGGCGGCTTCGCATACGCCGTGCGGGCACTGAAACTCTTCTGTCAAGAACGACAAGAAAAACAACAAAAACAAAAAGAAGAAAAACAAACGCCTGTGGGGCTAGTGGTGGTGCTGGAGGGTGGATACTCGCCGGAGGCCGTGGCTCAAGGTGTTGTGGCGGCCGCCCACGCCCTGCGATTCCCCGCAAATGACGCGGACGTCTTGCGATATGCGGAGCGGCAAGTACCAAAGACATGGCGGGGCCTGCGCCGACGTCTCGCACGCAAAAATGTTGAGATTCAACAACAACATGAAGAAGAAAAAAGAAGGGAAAGTAAGAAGAGTGATATGCGTGGGGAAAAGAAAGCGATGGGGAATATGTCATCCTCATCATCATTACGATCACGACAGGAACAAGAGGAAGAGAAACATGAATTATTGGAGTTACCAGAAGATGAAGTACTTTTGGAAAGGCATTTGCATTGGTGCGATCGACTTATTGCACGTGTCTTGGCTATACACACCGAAGCTAATAGAAAGCAATAAAAATAATACAACATCTTTGGTTAATTTTATTATTATTATTATTATTATTATTATTATTATTATTATTATTATTTATTTATTTGTTTATCTATGACCCTGTATATCTTTTTTTTTCTTTTTCTTTCTGTATGTGTCTGCGGTATATGAATGAATTATTCCTCTTTTAATAGATGTACTGTTATTCCTGCCATTACCTTGGGTAAAGGCAATTTAGACAATTTTTCTCCTTTTCTTTTTCCTCTTTCCCCTAGAAAACTATATCGACAATTGAAGAAAAGGAAAAAAAAAAAACATAGGGTTTTCAGGGTTTACCTGAACAATACCAAACAACAAAAAAAAAACACATTTATTGACCAGTAGAATATACAAGTATATATTTAAAATTAGTTTTTATTTGTTTATATTAGCTATTACCCCCCTGTGGGAATATCGTTATTAGTTAGTTTTATTTTCTATTGTTATTGTTATTCTTTTTATTGGCTCTTAATTCTTGAGGTATGAGTGGACGGTCTGTTGCTCCTATATTAGAGCAACATGGAGGGGATGTATACATTACTGGAAGTACTGTTGTACGGCACAAGATTGTGAATGGACGTGAGTGTGATGTATTCCCACCTGACTACGATACCCAACTCGTACTCACTGCCAAATATCTCTACAAATTACGACAAACCCTTCCACCACCTGCACCACCAGTAGAGAAACAACAACAACAAATACATGAAGAACATCAGTCAGTAAAGATGGAAGAGAGTAATGGGAAGGCTTCAACAGTTGTACAACCTCCAACACTAAAGTTAGTCTGGCGTGAAAGTCTTGGTTTGGTGCGAGCAGTTGTACCTCTATACAATCACTCATTCCATGAATGGGCAGCTAAACAAAATATACCGTGCAGTAACTGCTATGGATTTGCAATTGAGTACTTTAATCCACATGCAGCAGGACCGAAACTAGTCTCCAAGCAGACAGCATTTCAGCGTTATATAAAGGAAGAGAGATGCCGATGTGTGAAGGACGTATTTGCTGATGTGCAGCTAACAACAACAACAACAACAACAACAACAACAACAACAACAACAACAACAACAACAGCAACAACAACAGCAGGGAGTAGTAAAACGAGTAATGACACTAATGGTGGTTTACGGGTGCGGGAGTTCCACGTTGGACTCATCCGACCACCACCAGACACACCACAAGCCACTGGTGAAGGTTCATTGTTTCTACAACAGGACTGGTGGCATGCCTTTCATGTAGCGCGAATGAATTATTGGCATGAACGACTTGAAGATCATCTTATTGAGGAACCAGAAGTGTTTCAGTACCAAGTCTTTGCAATGGAATTCCCTAGTACTAATGTTGCCACTTCTGAGAAGGTGCGTCCACTTCTTTGTCAACTTGTTCTTTCAACAGAACGACTATATGTTGTTCCTAGATATGATGCGAAACTACTTTCACTTGAGTTACCGCTACATCACCCAGAGATGCGTTCGCGGTGGTTCACAGTCTCTGCACTGCAGTCTATTTCCATTGATTCCAATAAAGGTATTATAGTCTGTATTGGACAGCAACAACAAGAGAAACGAGTTGATTCTAATGCTGTAAAGACTACTACTACTAATATGAGTAGTAATTCCAGTGCTGCAGGAATAACAGGAGAAGTGAAGTTAACGCTGGGATTCTTTGACACTGCGGAGGCAGAGGAGGCAGTTCTAGAAATACAGCGTGTGTGGGAATTAACACACCGACAGGATGATTTTCCACTTGTATGATCTACATTAGTAGTAGTAGTACTCGTATTAGTAGTAGCTAATATTCCACAACGTGATGTGTTTCTCCCTTGTGTATACCTCTCTTTATGTTTTTGTCCTTTTAAATAAATAAATAGTTATGTGGAGAGAGAGAGAGAGAGAGAGAGAGAGAGAGAGAGAGTAAGTTTATTCCTTCATAGATGCACAAGGAAAAATTCTTGTTTTAATTCCTTGTTCCTCTCACTGTGTACCCTTTTGAGTTATGTATTTTTTATTTCTTTTTCTCACCTTCACCAGAAGCATCCTTCTATAGGGAAATAGGGAAATAAATATCTATCTTTGCATGTTTAGACGTCATCTGCCGCATACGATTATGCCTAACCGTGTTACAGAAATAGTGCCATCTTCTATATCTGCCTATTCAAGGCCCTTCACGCATCACAACAGCGGTGGAAGTGTTGATGATGGACTCACTCTTACTATCGGTGATGTTACCGTACCTGTTCCCACTAGTGTCAAACACCCAGAGCGGGTAACGTGGATTCTTCCCGGTACTACCACTTGCAATATTAATGAATTAAACAACAGAAACCACTACCAAAATAAAAATAACGAAGAAGAAGAAAAAGAAAAAGAAGACCAAGATGGAATATTACTACAAGGTGGTAATGCCTTTTTCCAATTACAAGACCCCACTACACGTCGTTACTTGCGGTGGATGTGTCAGAAGGAACTCCTTCGGCAGGACATGTGTCTTGTTGGTGAACCCGGCCCGGCCATGCGGTGGTTGGTGCAGATGTATTCCCTGCTCGTGCGGCGTGAGGTGCAGTCTCTGGCCCTCAACCGAGATACCACAGAGAGTGATCTCGGACAGAGGCGGGAGATTCGCAATGGAACACTTGTGTATGATGATCAATGTGTGGTGATCGCCGCTGGCGAAGGACAATTGCTGCTGCTTGAGGGACTTGAGAAGGTGGAACGCAATGTACTCCCGGTGATTAATAATTTACTGGAGAATCGTGAGATGCACTTGGAGAATGGAATGATGCTTATTCACCCAGAGCGGTATGACCAATTACTACAGGAACTTCTCCAAGGAGGAAAAAGAAGAAGATATGAAGAAGATGATGTGAGTGTTCATAATAGAATACAAAACAACAAAAGAAGAGTGGATGATAGTTTGATAATGACAGCAGCACATGAGGAAATGCGGAAAATGGGATTTATTCGCGTTTCAGAGAAATTCCGTGTTATTGGACTCACTGTTCCTGTTCCACCGTATGATGGTAATCCACTTGATCCACCACTGCGTTCACGATTTCAGTGTCTTTACGTGAATGTTCCGCTTCCATGCATGACCACTATAACAGGAAAAACTTCTTCATCTTCTTCTACAACGGTTAATACGATTACAAAAACAAGAATGATGGAAATAATGGAAAGACGTTCTATGGATCAGATGGAGTCTCTCTTAAAGCTTCGTACCATTGTTGATGAAGTAAACACTAGTACGAAGGAATTTAACACAGGTAGTAAACAGGTAAATAGTGCCAGTGGAATGACACTAGTCAGTCAAAGAAGTTTACAGTCTATTGGAAGTTATGAACTTTCTTTATTATCAAGACAATTGCAATTATTTCCTGATATTCCTGTGGGAGATGTGTTGCCGCGGGGATTCCCATGGTTTTTATACGCACAACAAACCACAACGTCTGGTGCTGCACACATGGAAGAGGTTCATAGTCGCCGACGAGAATATGAACGATTGTTAACAGCATGTAATATTAACGTTCCAACATTTGATTACTATCAAAATGAAAGGGAAATGGATGAAAAAAACAACAACAAAAAAAGTATTTACAATACTACAAGGGATGAAGATAGAGTCTCCACTCAACACCATTCATCACGTTCACCAAAGAGACCCGGTCAACTTAGTCGTAATTTACGTGAACAGGTGACATCTTTGCGAAGTAGCAGTAGTGATAGTGTTGGTGTTAATACAGAGAAAATAATTCGTTCTGCTGAACAATTTAATGATGTGATACGTGTGGAGAATATTCACACAGAGCAACAGTCTTGTAATACTGTGATTGTAGCGGATGCTTGCATTGCCAGTAAAGGAGGTATGTATACTCTCCCAATATACATGGGTGAGGCAGCTGCTGCCCATCCAAAAACAACAACAACAACAACAACAACAACAACAACAACAACAGAAAAAACTAAGAAAAATGGATTTATAGTGAAGGAAGAATGTCCTACACCCAACACTGTCTTTACTACTGCACATGATCATGTATTACAGTCTATGCTTCAACTCCATATTGCCGGACAACACATATTACTTCTTGGACCCACTGGATGTGGGAAAACCACCATTCTACATGAGTTTGCACACCTCCTTGGGTATCGCACAGAAACCATGTATTTGTATGCAGATATGACTAACAAGGATCTCTTTCAGCGTCGCACAACCGATTCAACAACAGGAGATACAACGTGGAAGAATAGTGCACTTGTAGAGGCAGCGTTAAGTGGTCACATCGCCGTATTAGATGGTGTGGACAAACTTCAACATGGGATGTTATCATCACTACAACAACTCCTTGTTGATGGAAGTGCTAACTTATACGATGGTGCCGTGTTAAAATCGCAGCAGGAATATGAAATACTTAAACGAAAGATGCACGCTACAGATGAAGTAATGAGAGAACATCGTATCTTTCCAGTACATCCTGCTTTCCGTGTTATAGCAACAGCACGACCCGCAGGATTATCATCCGAATCTCGTAATAAAACTGGACAGAATAATTGGCGAATCACACAAGAGGTGACTTCGTTATTTGGTATTCTCACAATGCCAGCTACTACAAAAGGTACCCTGCAAGCTATTTTAACACAAGTAGCTGAAGCCGAACGAGAAGCATGGCAACGTGAAAAAAAAACATCGCTTACAACGGATGATGTGGAGTCTGATTCATCCGAGTTATTGGTTCGGGATGTGGATAAATTGTTACAATTGCGGGATATACTTGAGTCTCTACAAGTAACAGAACCAAAAATACCACAGTTAAGTCTTCGACAGTTGTTACACCTTATTCGATTTCGTGTTCGTTATCGTGATGACTTCACTCCTAGTGTAGAGTCTGCACTACTGCTTCCACTCATGACATCCTTGACAGCAGAGCAGGTAAGACAAGCGATGCGTTCCTGCGGATTTAACGATGTAAGGAGCTACAATGAAAAGGACCAACAACAAGAACAACAATACGGTAAACAACGAAAATCACAAGTGTCATTGAGTGCAGAGAGTGAATTGCAGGAGGGTAGACGCAGTAAACGTCATGATCTTCTTAAGGAGCTTCCATCAGTTTCTGTTCCTGAGGATAATAAAGATAATTCTGCCAGTGAAATAAAAGGAAGAATGAATGATAATCATAATAACAGATCTGTTACTCGTGTCTTTGTTGTACATGATAAACCAATCCTTCGCATTAGTCGTGTGTATACAGAAAAAGAACTGGCACTTGTACCTTATATTCCATACTTTCATTCTAACCCTGTTCATGAGTCTATTATTGCATGGCTTGCCAAACAGTATGCAGTGGGTAACAATATTCTACTTATTGGAAATCAAGGTGTTGGTAAGAATAAGGTGGTGGATGCTTTTCTCGCCCGTATTCGTGTACCACGAGAATATATTCAGCTTCACCGCGATACCACTGTTGGCAGTCTCACTATTAATCCCACCGTTGAGGGTGGACGTGTGGTGTGGACGGACTCTCCACTCGTACGGGCAGTGCGATATGGACATTGTCTCGTTGTGGATGAGATTGACAAGGCACCAGTGGAGGTGGTTCAGGTGCTGAAGGGACTTGTGGAGGATCATGAGATGCGATTGCGGGATGGACGGCAAATACGTGGTCCAAAGGCTCGTGTTTTACCATCCATACAGAATAATGATAATAATAATAATAATAATGAGGAGAATATTATTGAAATGCATCCAGACTTTCGTATTATTGTACTTGCTAATCCACCGGGATTTCCTTTTCACGGGAACGATTTTTACCGTGAGTGTGGGGACTTATTCGCATCCTATGTAATGGGAAATCCAGATGCTCTTTCACAGTTACGTGTATTGAAGGCCTACGCACCAGATCTACCGGAACCATTATTAGTTCGACTCATTAGTGCTTTTCAAGGACTACAGAAAAACTTTGAAGAAGGACACCTTACCTACCCTTTTTCTCTGCGAGAGTTAATTGCTGTAGTGAAACACCTTGCAGCATTTCCACATGATGGTATTTACACTGCTCTTAATAATGTGTTTAACTTTGACGCACGAAATGAGAACACCCTACACCTCGTCAGACAAGTATTGCATCTTCATCTTCAATCACTAGTAGATGCTGGTGGTATGCGTCGACTTTTGCCTCTACGTGTAGGACAGGCTTTACCACTTTATTCCTCACCAGATTTACTGCGAGTTCCAGCTGAAGAAATGGGAACTGGATTGTTGTCATCATCATCACGGTTAGAAGATTTTGGAAAAAATAATATCGTATCTGTCCCAGTACGTTTTCTTACGGAAGAAGAGTCTGGTGGTGTGTATAGTACGCAACCAGCACACACTTGGAGTGAGCAATACCGAGAAGCTGAGTTTGCGGCGAATGTACTTAATAATACATCCGAAGGATTTACGGAGTGGTCATCCGCACCGAGTTTACCATTTCTACGTGCAGAGGATACTGTGTTGGGAGTGTCAGCAACGGATGTGGATAACGATACAGGGATGCTAACCGGTGTTGCTGTTCTTTTCTCACGATCAGTAAAGGATGATAGTGACAAGAAGAATAAGAATAAAAAAAATCTTATTCTTGCTGTGACTACCCTTCCCTCTGTCTCTTCTTTCGGAATAATGGCAACTCAACAATCAAATCTTCCTCCTGGTCATGTTCTTTTCTTTGACCTTACAAACCTTCTACCAACAGTTTCCTCCTCTGTTTCGGATTTCTCATCGCTTTCATTACAACCATTTAATGCTGAATCACACGCTGATTCACTAAATGATACATTGGGGAATTGGTTATTGGATATGTTTGGTGCTCCTGCTCCACTTATGGCGATTATAGATACTAGATCAGGAATTGCACTGCTTATCAATACCTCAGCTCCTCCAGCTCACTTGTACTGTTCTCTCCCAGCTTCAAACCAGCAACAAGAAGAAAATGAAAGTAATTCTATGAGTGCTGTATTACCTGTGCGAGTAGCACCTCCATGCAGTGACTCATCATCATTATCATCATCGTCGTGCTCGTTTGCTGTACGATCAGATAGTGGCATTATTGCCATGACGCGTTCCAACAGTTCAGAATTGTTTGTATGGATGAATGGACACCGTATTGCTGTGAAGTTACCTGCAACAAGTATTGAGAAGGTACATTTCTTCACGGATAACTTGGCTGCAGTGTGTTTGCGATCAAAGGAAGTGAGGATTCATGCTGTTCTGAAGATTGCAGTGATGTCAGATGGTACTGCGGCTGCAAGTCTCTGTATTATGCCGAAGAGTATTCCCGGAACTGTGGTGGGTCTCACAGCGAAGGGAAAAATAACAACAACAACAACAACAACAACAACAGCAGCAGGAGAAGCAAGCGAAATATCTCACAACATGCTTTTACAGCCTATCACACCAGAGGAACTACAGAGTGCCGTTATTGTTCCGGATAACGATGTAAACAATGCTGGAGATGTTGTCTACATGATGGTGGATGGATATTCACAAGAGGAAAAGTCATGGTCATTGCGAGTATTCACAGACTCTAAGGCTGCATCTGCACTTCGCTCTAAATCTCTACACGGTGGTACATTGAAGATAGACCACGTACACAATCAACTATTGGGAAATGGGAACAATAAAACGGAAAGTCCTGGTGCTGTTGTTGCCATTGACTATCAACAACACACAGTACGTTATTTTGCTTCACCACCATCATCAACAACAACAGCCTCAACAACAACAACAACAACAACAACAACAACAAGAACGACATCATCTCAAACTACTAAGCCATTATTCACTGTGGATGAAAAGACAGGAGCGGCACTATTGTATGATGGTGCACAGCGATTACTGGTAGCGGATGTCGTAGCAGAGCGTGTGGAGCACCGTTACCGTAGTTGGTCCACACTACTGAATGGATCTGTAAAACAACTTGGAGCTCCTCCTCTCTCTTCTACTACAGCAGCAGAAACACAATCACTCTCCATGTCGTACAGCACTCCACGCAAAAAACCCTCCGGTACTCTTAAACACGGCAAAGAAGATGATGAGGAACATCATGGTGGTAACACTTACGCCGGTGGGACTGGTGGTACGGACACTGCAGGTCTTGGTGGTCTTGTAGGGCCATACCGTCTGGATAAGGGACGTCCAGTACACCAAGTTTCCCCAGAGGCGAAGAAACAAGTACCTCAACATATCATTGAAGATGCAAAGCGTATGGGAAGAGAGGCATTACAGCGGCGTTTGGCTGAAATTGGAATGACCACGCAAGAATATGAACAATATAGAAATTTACAAGAGCGTGTACGTGCGCCTGTGGCATTGCTTCGTAGTGTTTTAAGTGGATTAAAGGCAGCCGAGGGTGAACGTACATGGTTGCGAGGTCAGACAGATGGTGTATGGGATGATAGCAAAATTGTAGAGGGAATTGTTGGAGAACGAAATATTTACAAACGTCGTGGAGACTCTACAGAGACAAGCCCATTTAATTCTAAACATAAAAAACGTCTTTTATTTGTATTGGATGTAAGTGCCAGTATGTACCGTTTTGAGAGTATGGATCACCGATTAACAAAACTATTGGAATCTACTGTGATGGTAATGGAAGCCTTTGCTGGATTTGAAGATAAAATTGATTATGCAATGGTTGGACACAATGGTGATAGTGCGTGTATTGAGTTGGTACCATTTGGACATCAACCGGGAAACCAAAAAGCACGTATGGAGGTTTGTCAGCGTATGGTTGCCCATGCACAATATTGTTGGTCTGGTGATAATACAGTGGAGGCAATGCGTCACAGTATTGATCTCGTTACAGCAGAGAAGGGAGATGCGTATTTGGTGTTTGTAATCAGTGATGCGAACTTGCCACGGTATGGTATAGAACCACGGGAGTTAAGTGCGATTATGCGGAGTAACAAAGATGTGCAGATGTTTTGTGTGTTTATAGCTACACTTGGTGAACAGGCGTCGGATATGCAGGCGGAGATGCCCCCTGGACATGGATTTCTCTGCATGGAAACGCAGGCACTACCACATATTCTCAAAAGGATATTTATGTCCGTGAATCTTCTCTGATATCGTTAAGGAAAAGGAAAAGGAAAAATAACGTATATATATATTGGGAAATGAAACCAGAAGAGGTAAATGAGAGAAAAAAAAAAAAAAGTTAAAATGGGTTATAACCAGTAAATTCGACGAAGGGAAGTATTGATATCGATACGTTTTCTGTTTGTTATGGTTTTTAATTATTACAGGGAATATAAATACAGAGCGACATTACAAAATCTCTCAGCTTTATTGTATTACCAGAGGGGGAAAAGTATCATCTTCACATGGTACCTTGTTATATTTTTATTCTAGTTTTTAATATTCTTGCTACAAGGTTCATGTGATGTAATACCCTTTGTGTATAATTCATCTTGTTTCGGCTTTGAGACTTCATTATTCTTTTTTGATTTCTTCTTTTTATTATTCTTTCTCTTATTTCCCTTATTATTATTTTTTTTTTTTTTTGTTCTGCTTCATTATCTCTCATGTGCTTTACTATTTCCCCCTTTTTTCTAATTCTCTCTCTCTCACTTTTGGTAAGTCTTTGTATAGGAGTTGTGATTTGGCAAAGGGGGAAAATGGGACAACAGGAGGATCAAGCAGATGAGATACGGCGATTACTGCAGTGTGCCGCTACCAAAGCGGATGCCTTCACAATATTACAAATAGAAGCAGAGACATGTGAATTGGCCGACATCAACCGCAGCTTCCGAAGGATTGTGCTTAAAGTGCATCCCGACAAGTGTACCCTCGCAAAGGCGGCAGATGCCTTTCACATTGCCGAGAATGCACACAAACTATTAAGTAACGAGGCTGTACTCGTGCGATTGAAGATTGCCCATCAAAAGAAGAAAGAAAAAGAGGCGGCGTTAAAAGAAGAGGCATCACGCCGACAAGCCAGTGCCACGACGATGGGCGGCAGTCAGACGATGTCAGGAGTATCCGGCAGTGTAGATGAGGAGGGATTAACAAAGGAGGAACGCACTCGACGACGGCGACGAGAACAAATAATGGAACAACAATTAGAAGCCGCACGTCTCGCAGAAGAGGCCGCGCGGAAGAAACAACGCGTGGAGCGGGAAACACGTGAACGGGCAGAACTCGCAGCGGAGTTGGAACGGCAAAGAAAAGAATGGAAAGATCTTAATCTCTTTTAATAAGAGGTATTATACACAAGGAGAGAAGTAATTAGAGAGAATATGGAGTTTTATTTCTTATCCATTTTTTTTATTATTATTTTTCTCTGGTTTAGTATTCTCTATGAGAGTGGTAACTCTCCCGGCACTTCTTTGCTTGTTTGTCATTGATTTTTTTTTTTTTTTTCATATGTTGTGTTTTTATCTCTTTTAGCCTATATTACTCTACGTATGTGTTTGTATGATTGTGTCTGTGTGTTGTGTTGTTCTTGTGAATTGCTCTTGTCTTATTCCGGCTTTAACTGTAATTACTTACTTTTGGGCATTACTTTACAATGGAGTTTGGTAAATACACCACGTTGTTCTCTTTTTCTTTATTTCGATTTGATGCTTTTTTTTTTCTTTTTTTCTTCTTCCTTTTTTTTTGTTTAACAGTCTTTCTTTTTAAGCCCCCGTGCAAATTCACTGCGGTCCTCTCTCTAAGAGTGGACGCAAGGGAATAGGAAAGGACAATTCAAACAGAATTAAGGGGGAGGGGAGAAAAATAATAACAATAACAAGAAAGGAATAACAAGAACAATAGTAGCATAAGTGGGTTGAGAGGTGCCTTTAATAAGAGAAGAGTGAGACATTGGAGTTGTGTGTAGTAGATATCCTATTTTAATAGTGAAGACTGTTAGAAATGCATGAATTCCCAAATCGACAACAACAACCACCGCAATCTCAACAACAACAATCTCAACAACAACAACAACAACAACAACAACAACAACAACAGAATGGACGACTAGCACGTGTCCCACGGCCACCAATACCATCTACGATTCCCGCACAATACCGAAATGGTTTGAATTCAGGCACATCAACATCCGTACCTTCACGTTCTTCTGCTTACACCCATAGTTCATATTATTCTTCTGAGTATGAGGAGGAGACATCCTCCTACGACTCTGAAGAGAGTGATGAGACACTTTACACACCAAGCAATCAGCCTTTCTTTCTCCGCATGCCAATGGGTCGAACAGATAGCGGTGATTCTTGGTTCCCAACTGGAGGACGCGAACCCACTCTCTATTCACTCACAAGTGTGGCTCTTATGAGCAGCACACCTGTCTCTCACGCAGAGTTTGGATGTGCCTTTAGTGAGGCTGAGAGTCATAGTGTTTTGGGGAGTAGAAGGGTTAGTGCGGTGAGTGTGAAGGGTGCACGGGGGAGTTTCCCACACCGGGCAACAGCCAACAATAATGTCAATCACAACAATAATATTGGACAATCATCATTACCGCCAAGTACTACAAGAGCAACTCCAGGAGATTTCCGCCATCTTAGGCAACAACAACATCAACAACAAGAAAATCAAGAAAAACAAGAACAACCAACGGAGGCATTTACACAAAATAAACTCTCACGAACGCCTGAACGCATCACACTGCGAATACCAGAATATATGAATAAAAAAGGAGTAAACACAGTGGCGACTGCGATTGCACCACCACCACCACCGCCGCCTTTGGAATCCACGAAAAGACCACCACTCCCACAACCCGCATTGGCACAAGCGAAGGAAGTCACACCAACGGCGCCAACACAAACTTTACAGCGAGAGACGAATGCGGCGGTTTTGCCTGGTGCTGCTGGGGGTAAACGAGATGTGAATCCCAACGAGAATAGTAATAGTGATAGCCCAAAGTATAAAATTGGCACTATGAACACACGAAGACGAATGAGTTTGCGAAGGGGACGTATTTCTATAGATGTGTGGGATCCTGATTTTACAAGAGGCGAGGATCGTAATATTACAGTGGATCCTTCCTATCTCCAAGGTGTGAAACAAACACCACCAACACCATCAGCACTAGCACAGCAACAGCAACAACAAAAGCCACTACATCCACTACCACTACAATCACAACCACAACCACCACCACCACAACAAGAGAAACAGAAAGTGGATAACAATGCACCGCGTGCTGTAGTTCCTATCAATAAAATGCCTTCAGAGCAGCCACGCAGTATGCCTCTTGCAGAGATGAAAAATAATCAGCAGATTACAGGTGCACCACCAGTGAAACCATCACCATTATCACCACCTAGAAAAGTAAATGCGGGAATAAATGGAACAAATCCCCCAGCTCCTACAAATAGGCCTACTACTACTACTACTACTACTAATAATAATAATAATAATAATAATAATAATACTAGACCGCCTCCTCCTCCTCCTTCTACTAATACTAACACTAATACTACTACAATAGCAACAGCATTGACGCAAACAGCATCAGTGGGGGCACATGCCACAGTCGTTTCACCACCAGCAATGGTACATCAGAACGACTCACGTGCTGCCGAGGCTCCCTCCCTCAATAATAGTAATAATAAAAATAATAATAATAGTGTGGATGGTACAAATATGCAAAAGACATTAATGGATGAGAAGGCCAGACGACGGGCTGAAGAACTACGACGAAAACTTGAGGAGGCCTCTGCGGCCGCAAAACGCACACCAATGTCAGCGGGACAAGTGAAAAGAATTGTAGTAGTATCATCTCCACCGCGTCTTCGTTCAACCACAGTCTCTGCAGCACCCACCATTGAGGAGAATGTGATACAGAAACCAGTGTTGGTTAAAGGCCGAACCACAGTACAAGATAGTCCAGCAGTAGTATCAACAACAACAAAAGTAGAAGAAACTTCTGCAGGAGGGAATTTACAAGTTAAACAGACTGTATTTTCTACTGGTGGTTTTGGTAGTAGTAATAATAATAATAATAATAATAATAATAATAACAAGGAGATAGGAGTGCGTCCACTTCCAAGCATGAATGCGAATACAGGAAAGATTACATGCTCTGTGAAGGTTACTGCTATCAGTGGTACTGCTTCTTCTAATACGAAGGAGAAATTACCAGGAAACACAGCGGTAGTAACTTCAAACACTCAACAGAATCATAAGGAACAAGAACAACCACATCAAACAAATGAGAGTTTGGACTCACAGATACCATGGAAAGTGAGAATGGTGTTAAATGAAGAGGAAGCAGAACGGCGTAAGATTTACCGTAGTGAAATAGCTGATCGTGCACTAGTGCTTAATTTGATTGTAAATGCACAGCAAACCTTAAATACCAATCTCACATTCCGGGAAAAAGAGGCAGATACGGCTCTTATTAGTCCTTCACTGGTTCCCCGTAGAAACTCCACCTTGGCTCCAAAGAATAATTACAGTATCCCAAGAAGTGATATGCGACCATCAAAGATGGAGGATTATAGTGGGTTAAAGCCTAACAATACCGTCGCACCGTTAACAGGCATGGCAACTAAAACTACCGCAAACACAACAACAACGGGAAATCTACAAAAGACCACACAAACAAAGGATACACATAATAATAATAATAATAATAATAATAATAATAATAATAATAATAATAATAATAACCCCACCACGGCGAATACTACAATGCCTTCTCCTGGTATTGTGCCGCCGCTTACAAATGAGGAGACACCGGGAAAGACTACACGACATCGTCGTCACCGAACATCTATGCGACGCCATCATCATCAATTAATGGATATGCCCCCTTCTAACAGTCGTGCCCAATTACGTTCACTTGCGACCAGTCAAATACTACCAGAGAATGTGGAGGAAAATCAAATTCCACAAGAACAAAATCATCCCCCCCACTCACGCCGATTATCTTACGGTGAATCCCACAGACATCATAGTACCAGTGGAAGGCCAGCACCCGTACCTACACAAAGCGAACAGAATAACAGTGGATCCACACAAAATAATAAAAACACGGCAGGTGTGGGAGTGATGAAGACCGCCGCTGGTGCGTACAACACGCGAGGACGGCGCTCATCCCGCACACCATCGCCCGTGGCCCCAACAACGCGGCGAGTCGGCCGGCGGCCCTCTTCAAAGTCACTTGTCGTCGCGACCGGCCCCACACGTACGGGGTCGAGGAATAGAGAGGATGAACAACACAGTAAACCACAATCAACAAAACAACAACAACAACAGCAGGGAATGGAGTATAATAAATACAAGGGAGGAGTATTGCCACCGCTCTCTTTGCCTCACCAGCCCAGCGGCGTTAAGGAAGGGACATGGATGCATTCACCAAATATACACTACTGATGTGAAGTGGAAATCAAATAGAAGAAGACCAAAAAATAAAAGAAAGAGAAAATGAGGGAGATAGATAGATAGACATGTAATGTATGCTTCTTTGTAATGAGGATACTTAGAGAGTGGAATAACCACAAGAAAAAAAAAAAAAGAAAAAAAGGTGAGAGAGAGAGAGAGAGAGTAGAAAGAAAGTTGTACAATCTTTTAAATTGACAATTGTGTCTTTTTCTTACATAATCACCAGACTTTTTCACCTCATTTTTTTTTTTTCGTTGTTATTAGCAGTTCTCCATATTCCTCTTCCTCTTCATCCGTGTTTCCTATTGTCATTCGTTGAGAAAGTAGTTTTTTTATTATAGTCTTCCTCCTCTTGTAACTGTATGCTGTTGTGTACCCGCATGATTTATTTCTGATATTGTGTCTTTTATTATTATATTATTATTACTATTACCATTATCATTATTATTATTATTATTATCATCATTACTATATTGTTATTCCCTTCTCCTTCTGCTATTTGGCATGACTCTTAACACCATTGTTTTTTTTTTTCTTCTTAAGAACAAATACTCAATATAAAGAAGAAAAGAGTAAAAAAAATCAAAAAAAAATCGTCATGATGAGGTGTCATCACGAGGCAGCAGGTGTTAAATTTTTTTATGTTTATCCTTGGCTGACCAGTATAGTGAGTGTACACAAGCACATCAAGTGGGGATTATGCGTTTAGGCTGAGAAGAATTCTTTTCTTTTTTCCTTTTTTTTTCTTTTTTCCTTTTTTTTTCCTCCCTTATTTATTTTTCTTTTCTTTTTTTTTTTATTGCGATGCTGACTCTTATAGAGAGGGAATATACATGTTTGATTGATGCGGAGAGATGGATATGTTTTCCTTCTTCTTTTAAATGTGGTAAATGTGTATGTAGACATTATTTACTTTTATGTGTATCCAATGGATTAGTGTTACACAATATTTATTATCTTTTCGTTTCTCTTTTTTGTGTAATTGTATTCTTTCCGCTTTTCTTTTTTTTCTTCATTTCCTTCTCGATTGTTCCGCGTTGTTTTTTTTTTTTTCCTCTCTCTCTCTCTCTCTCTCTCTCTGTATATACATGTGCTTACCCTGTATGTGTATTTCTTATGCTGCACATGATGTCTCTGTATCTATCTATCTATCTATCTATTCATATATATATATTTATTTATTTATTTATATGAATGGATATGTGTACTAATCTTTTTATGGTTCTCTTGTTTGCATTAAATTGTGATACTAGAGCAATTTTTTATTTTACCTGGAGGTGATGTTCACTCTTTTCTTTCTTTCTTTTTTCTTTTTTTCCTCTCTCATCCAATCCCAGTTCATACGTTGACGGATTATACCTTCCCTCACTTGTTTTTTTTTTAATCTATTTTTCATGTTCTCATTCTCTTATTAAATAGAAGAGAATTAAAAACAAACAAACAAACAAACAAACAAATATAAGGAGTGCTGTCACTGTAATGGATAGTAGTGCTTTCTATATGTTCTTTGTTTATTCTTTTTTGTTTCCCCCATTTTTTCGTTTTTATTATATATATATTATTTCTTTTTCCCCATGTGTCATTGTATAGCCTTTCGAAGATTATCACAGATAGGTGTTTATTTCCTCTCTTTCTGTTCTTTTTCCGTTATTTCCACTTCCATTCTATTTTAACCATCACCGTGTTTTATTATTCACTTGTATTTATTTTTCCCCCTCCTTTCTCCCCAGTCATGATTTAGATGGCGTCACTGTGTATGTGTTTAGATACTCTCAACTACTTTTTATGATCTCTGTTGGTTTCCTTCGCCGTGTATTGTGATTTGCGTTTCTTTTATTATTTTATTTTCTTTTTGTTCCACACGATTTAGGGGATTAGGTGGGAATATCCACACTCGTTATACATACTATATAATATTATTATTATAATATATATATATATATATAATTTATTTTCTCTTTATTTCTCCTTCTCTCTCTTTGTGTGTGTATATTTGTGTTTAGATGCCTACGGGCGGATAAGTCGCCATTGAAACGTACCAATACTGAAGAGAACATATATTCTCTAAAAGGTTTTCTCTCTTGTAGGGACCATTAAATATATATATATATATATATATATATATATATTTAAAGGAAGTAGAAGAGAAACAAATAGGGCGACTGTTTGTTTGTTTATTTATTAAAAGGGATACAAAAGAACATCAGGGAGAAGAGAGAAGTACGTACATTGATCAAAAAGCGAAAAAAAAGAACAAGAAGAAAAAGAAAAAATAAGGGGAAACAACAACAACAAAAAACCAAAAGGGAAAGGGACCTGGGGTGAATAGCAGCAGAGTATAGGTAAGAAAGGAATATATATATATATATATATATATATATATATATATATATATATAGAGAGAGAGAGAGAGAGAGAGAGAAATAGAAAGAAAGAACGATAGATAATTAGGGGATAAATAGAGAAAAGCGATAATGCGACTCTTCTTGCGTTGTGTGAATATATCACGTCCATCCTCTCTGTATATAGGAGCAACAACAACAACACCAACGAGATGCGGCATTTCATCTGTAGCACCAGTAGACAAGATAGTAGAGAGTACTTCTGATCCGCTATCTTCCTTGGGTAAGACTCATAATACTATAATTAGTAATAGTACGACGAATAAAGGTAGTGGACCTGCTGCTGTTGTTGCTAATACTAATACTACTACTGTGAGGGTCTCAACAGGGATAGGAACAAGTGTTGGATCTCCGCAAACGTTAACAAATGGTTTGCAGAGGAATATCATTAAAACTAGTAAAAGTACTAATAATGGTATTCGCAATGATAAGAGCGTTGATGATGATGCGGCAGTCAGACTAGAAGCACTACGGCGTATTCGTCTGGTCCTACAGCAATCCCAAATGCGTACAAAACCCAATACTACTACTACTACTACTACTACTACTACTACTACTACTACTAATAATACTAATACTAATAATAATGCTAATAATAGTAGTTCTGTTTCTTCCATATCCATGGATAGGGATGGTCTTAGTCGCGATGAGGTCCTTCTCTCTATTGCAGCACTGGTGGAAAAGGATGCGGAGATTGGACCCCGTCTTCTCGCCGCTCTCTCTGGTGATTCCCTGCGGCTGTTGCTGGTGATATGCACCGCACAGGAGTACTTTGGACAGGACGCCGTGGAGACACAACTGCGGGCTGTGGACAAGGACCGCGATGATAACATCTCTTCACAGGAGTATGATGATTGGGTGGAGTCAACCGTACGGCAGCGGGCCGCCACTCGTGTGATGTTACCACGTAAAAACAATACTACTACTACTACTACTACTACTACTACTACTANTAATAATAATAATAATAATAATAATAATAATAATAATAATAATAATAATAATAATAATACGGTTAGTAGTAGTAGTGGTGTTGGAACGGGCGGGAATAGTCCTACAAGTACAGGTAATGTTACTCTTACTACTACCACTACTAAGAGTAGTAGTACTACTACTACAAAGAATACTAGTAATACTATCAATTCCACGCCTATGGCTCTTAGTGCTAATCGTAACAATCCGTCAACCGCGTCTATTCCCTGGCGACTGTGGCATCGCATTGCCTGGTCGGCTGCCGTGCCGTTCATGGCATTTGGACTGCTCGACAATTGTATCTTCGTTACTGTGGGAAGTACCATTGATCAGTGTATGGCCCACACCTTTGGCATCTCTTCAATGGCCGCTGCCGCCCTCGGCGGTGTGGTCTCCGGCACTGCAGGCATTCAAGTGCATGGACTCGCAGACCGCATGACGCAACGCTCACAACTCGCACAGGCACCACCACTCTCAACCGCCGAACGTCAATCGCCCGCATATAATAGTGCGAGACGGTTTGGAAGTACATTGGGAATGATGTTAGGACTCGTGGTGGGAATGATGCCTTTGTTGTTTTTATCCTCCTCATCCTCCCACTCACCGCTGCGGGAGAGATAGTCAACAGAGGGGGGAGGATGGGGAATTGCAGTCAAGTAATAATATACTGAAAGGAGAGGAGAAATATTAGTAGAGGAGGGGGAAGAGAGGAGTATATATATATATATAAGAGAGACTCTATATGGTTTCTCCCATGGAGAGAAGTGTAAGGATCAGCGGTGAAGAGAAGGAAAAAGAAGTAGAAAGCCACTCATTTCATTATTTATGGCTTATCTTTTGTTTTTGATTTTTTTTTTTTCGAATTGCATATTTGTTTGTTTGTTTCTCTCTTAGTTGCCATTAACTCTTTTTTTTTTTTTCTTTCGTTGATTTCTCCCATATTATTCCACCCCGCAAGACGAAGAGAAGAAAAAGAATTTATTTATTTTTATTTATTTTTTTCTTTTTCTGCACGTTTTTTTTTTCGTTTTGTTTTTGCACCACGTAATTGCCCCTGTATACTTATACGGTTCCTGTGTTCGCGCTGTTTTTTTTTCTTTTCTTTTTCTTTTTTTCTTTACTTTATCATTCTTCATTTGATCTATTTATGTATCTATCTATCTATATTTGTATAGGGTTATATATTCCTATCCATATATATATATATATATATATTCGGATGCGTACGAGTTGTTTTTTTTTTTTTTTAATTTCGCGTTGTTCAACTTTTTTCTTCTTTTTTTTTACAGATAAGAGAGAAACAGAAAAAAAGAAAAGAATGAAACAACAACAACAAAAAAAATACGTATTGTGAAGGACAATGGTAAACAATGAATGAGAAGAGGTAAAAAAATAAAAAAAAAAATAGAAACGTATATATATATATGATATTTGTAGTATAATTTATTGTTATTCATGTGATTCATATCATTCGTAACGATTCCCATGTATGGCTATGGTTTATATTTAAACCCATTCATAGAGGTATAAACAAAGGAAAGAAAGAAAGAGAATTGCTTCTACTACTTAATTACAGAATACAACTCTAATATTTACTGTTTCCATTAATGTTGTATTAATGTTTATCTGCTATTTCTTATTCTCTCCCTCTTTTTCTCTCTTTCGTTATCTTTTCCGTCTCTTTTTGTTCTATTTTCTTTCCTTTTTTACGGTGTGGTATTAAAAAAAGAGGAAAGAAGTTTGTGTGTTTGCTTAAAGAGAAACAAACAAACAAGCAAACAAACGAAAAGAAAAACAATAAAGGGAAAAGCAAAGCATCAATAAAGATCCCCAATCCATTATTATTTTCCCAATATCACAACAACCACCTTATATAAATATATATTTATATATTTATACGTACATATATATATATATATATATATATATATATATATATATACAGTAGGAATATGGAGAGTGCGTATCTAAAGAACAGTGTGGGTCCAGTGCTTGCCAAGGCAGTGGCCGAGACGGTACTCGCGCAGCCCAGCAATCCGCAGGAGTATCTCGCCCTCTATCTCTTACACGTACTGCAGGAGGAGGAACGCACCACCGCCGCCGCCACGCTCAAACAGAAGGTGGAACAGCAACGACAGTTGTGGGCAAAGGAACGGGCACTGCGTGAGAAACGCGCTGTTGATACCATTCAACGTTTCTTCTCTAAATGTAAAGATGCCTTACGTGCACGACATGCACAGGAAACCGCATTATGGACAAAGTATGAAACCGCCGTTGCCGAGGCAGAGGAACTATTAGAGGAAGAAGACACACATGCCGATAAGGGATATACCACAGCTGGGGATCAACCCCATAAAGTGCAGGGGAATACAGCTGGCGGAGAAGAAGAAGATGATGGGGCGGCATTAGAGGAAGCCGCTGTTGCTGCGGAAGAGGCCCGTGCGGAGTTTTATAAGGCCCAACGCTTTATGCTTCATCTTCGCAAGGCCTTCATTGGAACCCTCAAGACGGAATTGGTGGATCGACGGGAACAGGTGCGGGTCGAACAGGACCGTATACATGATATTCTCGATCTCACAACCGCAGAGGCTCGTGAAAAGGAAGATGCGGAGTTTACAAAAACAACACTAACACACACCACAGCGATGGGAGTAAATACATTACCATCATCCGCAGTAACCGCCGCATTGGTGAAACAAATCACCGTCCCACGACATGAACGCATTGCGGTATCAATGATTCTCTACCGAGTTTTACGTTGTTGGTGTTATTTCTTCTTTGACAGTACACCAAAAGAGACAGATACCCCAGCGAAGGTTGCGGCGTTGGTGAAACCCTTCACTTTCATGCAATTACTACGTTCCTTTAATCCTGTTGCCACCTACAGACGTGGACGTCCACTACGGCTTGAACATATCATTCATCACAGAGATGATGAGGATGATCAGGGCGGTGTAGATGATGAAGATCCCATGCGTGAAGGGGATAGCGATCCACTACCACAACCAAAGCCACGTCAAGCACGACGTGTGAATCGTGTTCTCCGTGTATTAATGCACGATGCGGAATACATCACGGCTGTGAATCCCGCAGACTTTATGGATGTGGACGAATTCGATGATGACGACGGTGGAGTTGCCGATCGTGGCAGTGCGACAAACAGCAGCAACCAGGTGCATGAGAGTGACAACCACAGTGCCGATCACGCCAATCTCAATAATAATAACAATAATAATAATAATACCGCTGGTGGACTGCGGGCTGCGGTGGCGGAGGCGGTGGACGCGGCTGCACGTGGGGCCGCCATCGCTGAACGTGTGGAGTCCACCGCCCGAAAACACAGTGTGGTGTTGTACGCATTACTGCGAATGCTGCGCACCGCGAGTGCCTATCGAGATGCACGCGATCGTTGGTTGACACTCCTGCAGCGCGGGGGCCACGATGTGCCGGCGATCGCGGGAGAAGTGCCGGAGGATGACGATATGGATCCACACAACGACGAGGCCCCCCGCGATGAGGACGAATACGATGAGAACGACCACAATCGCAACAATATGGACTTCAACAACGTTGTGGAGGATGAGGCGCTGCGTCGACTGCTGCTGGTGATTGGCGTTGACGAAGACGAGGCGCTGGCGAAGTTGTGGGGAGCGACAGACGCGGCGCGGCGTGTGCGTTGGGAGGCGTTTGCGGCCGCGGCTGCACGGCGGGCGGCGGAGGAGGAAGAGAGCGGCGGCCGCGAAGATGAGGATGGAGACGACGAGGACGATGCGTGAGTAAATAGGGAAACCCAAAGAGAAGAAGAAGAGGAACATGGAAAGTGAATATTTATATCTATATTAGAAGGAGAGAGAAAGAGAGACATGATGAAAGGATGTATATATGTATAGAGAGAGAAAACGAGAGAGAGAGAACAGACATTATATATATATATATATATATATAGTGTTAGGAGGAGGAGGAACAGTGGAGGGTTTGGAACGGCTAGGGAAACGAGAGGAAGGAGAGAAAAGGTACGAGAAGGGATGGTTTGATATGGAAAAGAAATAGAAATAAAGAAGGCGTGAATAAGAGAAGAAAGAAGGAAAGAAAGGAAGAAAGACTGTGGGAAAAGGGTATTTTCTGCTCTCATTTCACTTATCTCTCCTTTCTTTTTATTTGCGTTATGAAGAGAGAGGCACACACACACACATATACACACTTTTTTCTTTATTTGCAGCATGTATGCTTCTCTCTCTCTCTCTATCTTTATGTATGTATGTGTGTCTCTCTCTTTTTTTTTCTCTTTTTATCACTATTTCTTTTTTTTTCTTTTTTTTTCGTGTCTTTTTATTTTTATTTTTGTCTCTCGTTCTTTTTATTGTTTCGTTTCTTTCCGTTTCGCTGTTTCTCTTCAAATGTATTCCTCACAATGTAACGAGTATGACACACCAAATGTCTGCAGAAACGAAGTCAAACAGAAAGCCATTTCGGTCTCTCTGAAAAAAAGAAAAAAAACTAACAACAAAAAAAACATATCCCCCTTTTTTTTGGGAATATGTACACAAATAATCATAGAGTTATATATTTATATATAATTCTTATTACTGAAATCTCTGTTGATTGATTTTCTCTTTCCTTCTCCTTTTTTTTATCTATTCTTTCTCATATATATATTTCTAACACTATACATTACAGCTGGAGTACTAGAGACTCACATATAAATACATATATATATATATATATATATACAAACGTAGATAGATATAATTCTCTCTCGTGATGCTTCGCAGATGGTTTCCACGTTCACTCACTAGTACGATTCTAACATGCAGCAATAACATTAGTCCATACAGTAATCATAATAGCAATGGTAATAAGAGTAGTAGTGGTATGGGAAACTGGCAACCACGACGAAAACAACAAACTCGTTTCTCTAAAGAAGCATTAGCGCAAAGCCGACACCGTCATCATCTACAGAAGGAAACGGCAGCATTACGGCATAGAATTAACGAAGAACAGGGATTACAACAACAACAACACGCACAGATGCGACGATTGTATACAAATACAGCGACAAAACTCATACATAATGCCTCACGGTCTACAGGAGTCTCTGCAGGAGATGCAATGGCAACAGCGAGACATTTATTAATGCTTCAGGAGGCCACACGGAAAGAAATGAAACGTGGGAAGAAGGGAAGAAAGGAACTCTTCACAGAGAATAAGAGATGGTTGAGGTAAAAATGGGGAGAGTGATGTTTATATATATTATTATATACTATTATTATTAGTAATTTTTTTTTTTTACAGTTGAATGAATCTATTTATTCTATGTATATTTATCATTTCTCTCTTATTGTTTTCTTTTCTTTCTTTCTCTTTCTCTTTTTTTTTTCATCTCTCATATATATTAATATTTAGTTGGCCCCACACCCCTCCCCAAAAAATATGCGTTTCTTTGCTCGCACACAGTCAGTTTATTACGGTGGACGACCAATATCCCGGCATTCCAACAACACTAGTAAGAGAACAACATACACTCATAATAATAATAATAATAATAATAATAATAATAATAATAATAATAATAATAATAATAATAATAATAATAATAATAATAATAACAATGGCTCTACTTCGAATAGACAACGACAAGAACAATTACGATATCAGACATTAGGTGATTATCTCCAACGTTTACCGCGTGGTATTCGTGATATCCTGTTATGGTCCCCCGCTATCGCTACTGCATACTTTGTGCTCTACAAACAACCCGTCTATTATCTCACTTCTCATAGGCGGAGATTATTAAGTCGTCCCACCGATACAAGTGTGAATAATAATAATAATAATAATACTCCTGCAGTTCATTCACCGAATGTGAAGGAGAGAGATGAGAAAACACATCTGGTCTCCATTCAACTGGATGATACAGCAGGAACGGTGGTGAATGGAGTCTTACCTAAAGTATTAGATAATACTACTAATAATAGTAATAATACTCGGGATAGTGATAAGAGATCATATGTAGATAATATAAACACAGTGGCCTCCTTATCGCCATTGATACCACCGTTCAGTACAGGTGCGATCTCTCAGGCACCGTCAACTCTGCGGATTCTGCGGGATGTGCAGACGGGCAAAGTTGTTGGATACACCGCCGTATGAAGAGAGATTCTTCACTATGGGGATAATAGTGATGATAGTAGTAGTTAAGCCATCCCCTCCTTTGTTCCTGCGAGCAAAGTACACTCATACACAATACTAAAAAAAAAAATATATATAAAAACAAACAAAGTAAAAATAAAAAAGAAGAGGAAATACATCTATACATGCTTCTTTTTTTTTGTTTCTTTTGCTTGTTTTTTTTTGTGTTTTTTATTGTGTATCTTCACAGAGATAATACCAAATATATATATATACATGGAAATAGGAAAAACAAGAAAGAAGAAGATGAATTATCTTTTATCAAATGACTTGGAAAGGAATCAAATGATCGTTACTTTACTTGTTCCTCTCTTTTTCTTTCTCTCTCTCTCTCTCTCTCTATATATATATATATATATATATATATATATATATATATAAGCAATAAGGGTATCTGTACGTATAAAGAGGAGTCAAATAACCCCCCTTCCACTCTCCTTTCTGCAGAAAAGAGAAAGTACACATACACACAAACACACAAGTGTATCCTAACAGTATTCACAAGTGTGACAACTAAATACAAAGTAATACTTCAGCAATCACAGAAACAGCGAAACAGGAGAAGTAAAATAAACACAAAAAAAAAAGCGAATAAAAGGCAAAAATAAGAAAAGAAGAAGAAGCAAATAAGGGAACGAAACACAGTGAGAGAAAAACAGAAAAAGAGCAAAAGGAGATTAATACACGCAAGTAAAGAAGGGTTGTGTGTGTGGGGTGGGTAAAAGAAAAAAAAAAAAAAAACCATAACTCACTAAAGAAAAAAAGAAAAGAAAGGAGAAAAGGGGCGAAATAACAATAACCCACATCATTTACAATGAACGCGCTTGATGAACTGAACTTCCGTCTTGGTATTGGTCCATCACGGCCGCGGCTGCCCATTACACTGCAGCGATCTGGCTATACTCCTGTACGGCTGTTGGGAAAGGGCAGTTTCGGCAATGCGTATCTCGTCTATCACGCTGAACGGAAGGAACATTATGTAGTCAAGCATGTGAATATGTCTAGCATGACTGCACGGCAGCGCAAAGACGCACATCAGGAGATTGCCGTATTGCAACAATTGGAGTATCCAAACATTATTCGTTATGTAGAGTTTTATGAGGAACATCCACATTTGTATATTGTGATGGAGTATGCTGATGGTGGTGATGTCTACACACACCTTAAACATCTACGCAGTAGTGTATGGGCACTTGGTAGTGGTGGAAGTGGAGGATTAACAGAGGAGCAGGTGATTAGTCTTTTTGTTCAAACTACTATGGCAGTAAAATATATGCATGATCGACGTTTACTACATCGTGATATTAAATCCCAAAATGTTTTTCTTACGCATAATCATGTAGTAAAATTGGGTGACTTTGGCATTAGTACAGTCTTGATGAGTACTGTCGCAATGGCACAGACCATGTGTGGAACTCCATGCTACTTCTCACCGGAATTATGTCAAGGCAAACCATATAATAATAAATCCGATGTTTGGGCATTGGGAATATTATTATATGAATTGTGTACAACAGGTCGATTGCCATTTGAGGCAACAACCATGAATCGACTCATGGATGATATTTGCCATAAAGAACCACGACGTATTCCATCCAGTTTCTCAGAAGAGTTATGGAATCTTGTTCAATGGATGTTAAAGAAAGATCCAAGACAACGTCCAGATGCGGGGCAAATTCTCCGATCTCCAGTACTCGTGCGGGCCATTCCTGATGTTGTGAAGAAACTAAGTGCCACCGATCCCCGCTGTGAAGTGGAGTACTCTCGTCTATTGGGATCAGACGCAAAGCCACTACCACCAGTTCGACCAGGTGTAGAATTACAGAATCAACTATCACATCAACATCAACATCAAAAGCAAGAGGATGGGAAAGAACATGGACGAGCGGGAATGTTTCCTTCTTCTGGTTTGGTTGCAGCTGTAGTGGCTGCAGGGGCTAAACGTCATGATTTATTTCGCAAACCAAATGATGAATATCCATTTAGTCGTGGAGATGCTGTGGGGAATGGCCGGCAGGGTCTAGAGCTGAACAGACCAGTAAAGCCACCACCATCACCATCTCCACTACTGCGAGAACAGAAGAAGAAAGAGGAAAAAGAATATGGATTAGCTCCACTAAAGGCACCTCTTGCAGGAGAAGGAGCAGGAGGAGGACAAGCAGCAGAAGGTGGGGAATCAAAGTATAACCCTATTCTTCTACAAGGAAAGGTAAATTATTTCAAGGGGAAAGATGTAGGAGTAAAGAACGACCATCGTGAATCTCCATATGGCTTGAATGAACCTCGTGAGAATGTAGTAGATAAAAATCTCAAAGAGAAAAAAGATGCTGTTACTAGTGCAGTAAATAAAGAGCAAAAATCACAACAAGATCCACAAAAACGATCACCTCCAAAGAAACCAATTGCTAAAGTGGCCTTACAAGATTTATTTCTATTATATGATGAGAAAAAGAAACGTATTATACAAGAACGTGAACAACGTTCTAATGTGCGGAATCCAATGAATTATCAACCTAAAGATGCTATTTCTTTCCGTGGAAAATCAGCAGAAGCAGCAGCAGTTCCAATAGATGCTGAAAGATCTGAACTATCAGAGAATGTACAAAGACAAAATTCCCCACAACCACCAACACCACCACCAAGACGAAAGTTAAGTGATGTTCTAGAAGAAAAAGCAAATGAAGAGGTAACGAAGAAGGAAAAGGATATTAATCCTTCTTTAACTCCTGCATCTCAAAATGAAACTGTAGAAAAAATGATTGGTGAAGATGCTGATAAAAAAGGAAATGTGGAGTCGCAAAATGAACTTGCATTCGTCTTACGTGAACTAACCAATCATTTTGAATCTGTTCATAGTAGTATGGCTCGTTCACAGAGTGGACGTAGTAGTCCTGGTATGAATGCCACACCCCGGCGTCACATTAGTGAGACAGGTAGTAATGAAGATGATAATAATAATAATAATCGTAGTCCTTCTACTCCCTCTCAAGGGATAGGGGAAGGGGAAGAAAAGGATATTCTTGGTAATGCAGATTATGATGATTATAATGTTCATGATGAGGATCCTGGACAAGAGTTTGCAGATGCGATGGGAACTACCCTGGATTTAAAGAGTTTACAACGTTCACCCACCTCACCTGGGGCGATTCCAGTGGAAAGTGATGGTAACGCCATGCAGGAACGCATTCCATTAAATATTGCACGTTACGCTGCGGTATCTCCAGCACGCTCTCAAGCTATACCGTCTCTTTCTGCCTCAGGCCGACAAGGCCGAGATGCTTTACGGAATATGGATGAAAAGAATAATAATAATAATAATAATAATAAGGGTGAAGTACAGACAGATGGGGTTTCTTTAATGAAGGAACAACCAACATCATCTCCCAGTCAAGGTGTTATTCCAGGAGAAGAATATGCGGTAGATGGATTGATGGAAGAATATGGTCCACCTTTTAATGGTGGATGTTTATGTGATGGAGTACAATTCAATGGTGATGCCTCTACTATATACGGTAGTTTTGTCTGTAATTGTGTGGTGTGTTCAAGATTCTCTGGGGCAATGATGGGTGTAGAATGGCTACATCTTCCTGATGTTTCGCTAGAAGCCTTCTTTTCTACACTGACAGAAATACAAGGTGAGGAAACACCTGCTGCTGCTGCTAAATTAAATGATGTAACACCAGCAGGGGCAGGCGTGGTAGCAGCACAGGCACTTGCAAAGGCCTCTACACCATCTGCAGCAAGGAGAAATGAAGCAGCAGCAACAGCAGCAGTAGTAGTAGGAAAATCTGAGGAAAAAGGAAAAGAGGGAAAAGATGTAGCTGTGCTTATGCCATCCTTAACCAGACTTGTATTGGAAGTCCCTGTGGCGAGTGGAGGCAATACAGATGGTAATGACGACAGCAACAACAACAACAACAACAACAACAACAAAAATGATGATGACAATAAAGATGTCACTGGAGTGCAGGTAATGGGGGAGTTCACGGTATATTTCTGCAGTAGATGTGGTTGTACAATTGGTATGACCCATTATGATATTGAAGGTGGGCTACTCGCCAAAGCGGCACTTTCTGATGTGAGTCTCGCGGTTTTGGAGTCTTTCCAACAGACCGTGGGGCAAACCACTATGTAATCAAATGATATGCCAATATGATGATGATGATATATATATATATATATTGACTCTTTCTTCTTGATTGTATGTGGAAGTTTTTCTTCTTTTGTTTTTCTCTCTTTCTGGCATTATTTTACGTATTTTAGCTATTTTAGCTATTGGCATGTTTAGAAGTTTATGCTACTTTTTCTTTCTTTTCTTTTTCTTTTTTATTTACCTTCGTTCGCGTTTCTACTTGGTATTTTTATTATTCCTTTTATTAGTGCGCTGGAAAAGTTTGCTTGCTTGTTTGACGTGTTTTTTTTTTTTTTGTCGTTGTCTCTTATTTTTATTTTGTTAACATAGATCCACTTTTGTTGCGTGGGTTTTTTTCTGTGCTTCTGCACCAACAGATGTAAATAGTTCGTGCTTCTATGTTTGATTAATATTTATAGAATATAGGCCAAGAAAAAGGAGTGAAGAAGAAGAAGATGAAGAAGTATAAGAAAAAGAAAAAAAGAAAAAGGAAGGCCAATTGTTTTACCTTTCCCCCTTTTTTTCTCTCTTTCTTTATTTCTATTTCTCTTTCTCTCTGTCTCTCTCCATCTCTTTCTCTGTCTTTTTTTTCTATATATTTATCTAATCTAATTTGTGGTGTCTGCAGAGATGGTGAAACTGTAGAGGTGAGATGTTTCTTGGTGTTGCACCTTCTACTCTCGTATTGGCCGTTACCATTCTTTATTTTTCCCTTTTCATTTATTTATTTATATTCTTCCTGCTGTTGTTTGAAAAAAAAAAAAAAAAAAAAAAACAAAAAAAACGGGTATTCACTATTACTAGAAATGAATTCCTCTCTTTCTCTCTTTCTTTCTTTCCTCTCTTTTCTTTCTCTGTATTTTTAATTCATTCCATGAGTGGGTGGTTTTAGGGTGTGTGTGTATACGAAAATAAAATAAAATTAGAAAAAGAAAGAAAGAAGGAAAGAAAAAGAAAGAAAGAAAGCGGTTACACTCTGTGAGAAGAAAAAGAAAAAAAGAAGAAAAGAAGAAAAGAAATGTCCAGTGCTCCCACACCTCTCTTCTCATCCTCTGCGCTCTCACGACTGCGTGTTGTGCAGCGGAGTTTTCTCACTCGCCGCGGTGGGCGCCACGTGGCCCGCACGGCCGTTGCGGTCGAGTACCGCCCGTCGCTGCAGCGGCGGATCAGCGGCGGGGACGGCGGCAATTACGAGCGGGTGATCGACGCGGAGGTCCTCCACGGCGACGAACAGGTCTTCTGGGGGGAGCGGCGGGGATTCTACCGCAGGCCGGTGCAGTACTTTCCAACGTGGGATAGACTCGCCCAGGCACTTATTCTCATCACACGACAAGTCCCACGTGTACCGCAGGAAATGGCATTTCGGCTTATGGCGGTGTTTTTGAAGTTAATGCTATTACCGCAATTAGTGATGAGTGCTGATTTGATGCTGCCTTCGTGGGTGGCAACGAATGCGGAGGGTGTGTTAGCGGCAGCACGCAAAGATGATAGCAAAAATGATACTACTACTACTACTACTACTAAGAATGATAATAGTAATAGTAATAATAACAATAATAGTAGTGATAAGAAACAGCAATAACGTGAGAAGGAAGGAGGATAAGTGAGAAAAAAAAAAGTAAAGGGACGGAGACAAAGAAGGGAGTGATGTGATGGGGATTCTATTTCTCTCCATCCTCTCTTAACTGTTTCTTTTTTCCTTTCTTTCTTTTTTATTGTTGCTTTGTCTATCTATGGTGTTTAGGGAGAAATTGCATGGTTGATATTTGATGTTGGTTGTTCTTGTTTTTAAATCTTGCATTATTGTTGTATCTGGTTCTCTCTTCTTGGTATGTGCATGAATAGAAAGAGCTATTCCGGTATCTTGCAGTGTTTCATTTTTTTTGACTATTCAGTCAAGGTGGATGCGAAGTTATCATACATATATATACACATACATAAACTCTTTCTTCTATCTTTGTATCTATCAAACGAGGTATAGAATATAGTGTTTACTTTTTTTTCTTTCTTTCTTTTCTCTATTTTTTTTCTTGTTCTTATTTTTATTCTTCTTCTTTTTATTCCCATTACACATGCATCTCTCTCATTCTTTCTAATCTATCTTCCCAGTGGCTGTGTGTTGTTTAGATAGCTGTTGTGAATGTCAGCAGACTACATCCAACTGGTGGGTACAGACGTGCCTGGCAGTTACGGCAGTTGCTGCTTTAGCGGTCAAGTGCACCACGAGGCATTGCGATGCCCAACAGAGTGGGCAACAGCCGAATATACACAACAACAACAACAACAACAACAAGGACTAGAAACAGGAATAAAACGAAAAACAACCACTTCATCCACATCCTCATCCTCCACAGAGGCCTTCTCGGGTGAAGGTCAGTTGTTATTCTTTAATTGCCCGGAAGGAACCCAGCGATTTGGGGCGGAGGCAAACTTAAGACTCGTCCGCACACGTGGTTTCTTCTTCACACGATGGACCGCCGCGACGGTGATGGGCATGCCGGGATTACTCTTCACCATTAACGATGCGGGAGTGCGGCATGCCAACTTCTTCGGCCCCAGTTCACCTCCACCCATCATACAAGATGAGAATGAAGAAAAGGAAAAGGAATATAAAGAAGAAGAAGAAGATAATAATAATAATAATAATAATAATAATAATAATAATAATAATAATAATAATAATAATAATAATAATAATAATGGGCAATGGCAACAGAGAGAAAAGGAATGTAAGGATGTATCTTTGACAGCAGGATTAACAGGGATGTTAAATGCATTACGTCGACATTACTTTTGGTATCGAAAGATGCGCTTTCAACAACTTTGGGCGGGTCATTCACTACGTAAATACACAACATCACTCCCACACTATGATGTCTTTGAAATCCCATTACCAACAACAACAACAACAACAACAACAGCACCACAAGCACCAGCATTACAAGCACATTCTTCATCGCTTTCATCATCATCATCATCATCACTATTGTTAACATCCCAATCTGGTTTTATAACATTGGCACTGATGCTGAGTCCAACATGTGCTCTTATTGCATTTCGCATCACATCTCTTGCGGTGTCGTCGGCGGCGGATGTAACGTACGGCTATGCTATTATACACGCCCCAGCAGCGAGTTTTGACCCGCGTCGTGCCAAAGCGCTTGGAGTTCCACCAGGCCCACTCTACGGTCAACTCAAACAAGGCAACGGTGTGTGGATTGATAAGAAAACGACATGTACAGATGTAGGAACAACAACAACAACGACGGAGAAATGTTATATTGATCCACGTAGTGTGAAACAGGGAACTGTGGGGAGTCAACGGATGTATGTTTCTTTGGTTCTTGATGGGGATAACTGTGATGAGGTGGCAACGGCGATGGAGTTGCTGTTTGGTCGAGCCGTGGTTAGTAATGCGGAAGAGCAACAACAACAACAGTCATTTGTTAATAAGACAGATGATGTTATTCATGGAAATAATACAGTTAATAATAATAATAATAATAATAATAATAATAATAATAATAATAATGGGAATCCTTGTGGTGAACTCAAACGTTTTCTCAAGCAATGGGAACCATCTCTAGTCTACTGCGATGAACATGCATCCGATATAGTGGTAGAAGAAGAACAACAACAACGAGAAGAGAGAAGTATGGAATTAGTACACATTGTACATGTACAGTGTACAGACTTCTTCTCTTTTATGGGTTTAAAGACTCTTTCAGAAGCACAGAAACATTATATCACATCTATCTTTGCACATGTGCGTGAGGATATCCGTGTTCAAGCTATGGCAAACGTCTGCAGTGATATCTCTTCTACGAATCCAACAGACTCTATAAACAGAACACCAATAACAACACATCACTTCTGTGCGGCTATTCAACAAGAGTTTTCTGCCTTTCCCACAGCTCTTACTCACCGCTATCATCTCAATAGTATTGCCCCAGCACAATTTCCAATACCCTATACATCCTTTGAGGAAAAAGCCAATGCTGTAGTTGAATCAGAATTAACCATAGAAGGAGAGAGTCAAAGTGGAAAAGGTCCTGTTTGGCCGTATGGTGTGAAACATCAATTAATTCCTGCCGGTGCTGGTACTCCTATAGTGGACGGTAGACAGACTTTAGAACCCGTTGAGAGAGGTGTAAATAATAATAATAATAATAATAATAATAATAATAATAATAATAATAATAATAGCAACAAGAACAAGAATGATAATAATAAGAAAAACCATGATAAGAAACGGGATATGCTAGGGCTTCTTCGTTACCCAACCATACGATCGGCAGTAGCAATGCTCTCACCTCAATTTCGAGCAACTATTGCCGAAGTACATCAACAAGAACAACAACAACACGTTGTCTTGACATCACCGACTTCTTCTAATCACAATCATAATAATAATAATAATCATCTTGATGAAAAAGATGGTGGTGGGGCTCTGACATTTCTTGGTACTGGCTCTGCTGTTCCCAGCAAGTACCGCAATGTGAGTGGCACATACCTTGAGGTGATGTACTATACACACGATAACACCATCACACCTCGTCGTGCTATTATCGTATTAGACTTTGGAGAGGGAAGTGCTGGACAATTGGCCATGCAGTTGGGCAGTACATGTACACAAGCACTACAGCGCTTTATGGAAGATTTGACACTTGTCTTTATCTCCCACGCACACGCCGATCATCATCTTGGATTACTGAGTCTATTGGAACTACGACACCGCCTCTTATCATCATCATCATCATCATTATCATTATCGAGTAATGTTGATAAGCAACGAGAACCTTTACTTGTGGTGTGTCCACAGGAAGTGCTGGAATTCCTACAGGAGACATGGGGATGCTGTAATAGTTACAAGTCGTGGCTGCAGGAAGAGGTGGTGTTTGATATTATTCCCGCAGAGCGGTGTCGTGTGAGGAGTGAGGGTAATATTTATAATAATAATAATAATAATAATAATAATAATAATAATAATAATAATAATACGATTAACAGTTCGGATAACGCGACTGCATGGACACCCACAGTACCAGTGTTTCTACCGCGACTAAACGCTCTCTGCACATCTCTGCACAATAACACACAAATAATGACAACAACAACAACAAAAACAAAAACAACAGCAATGAATGTAGTTGAGAGTATTACATCTCCACTGTTGTGGGCTGCGGAGGTTTTTCCAGTCCATCATCCGGCCAATGCGCATGCCTTACTACTGCGATTTCCAGCACCAGCAGCGAATGGCACCTCACGTGTGATGTTATTCTCCGGTGATACTCGACCCTCCCCATTTCTCATTGACCGCTGCCATCAATTTACCCGCAGATATCACCAACACGGAAAAGAAGAAGAAAAAGAAAAAACAGAAAAAGAAGAATTATTTCTATGTCTTCATGAAGCCACATTTGGTGAGGGCTGCGAGGAGGAGGCGGTACAAAAGTGTCACTCTACACTGCCGGAGGCACTGCAGGTGGCCGCAGCCATTCGCGCCAGACACATTGTACTCAATCACTTCTCCCAGCGGTATCCAAAACTGCCGGGGCTCATGAAATCACAATTAGACGGGAAAGACGTGGACCTGCAGGGGAAAAGAAGAAGAAGACCACGACTGCTGGAGGCGGAGGGGCACAGCTATGAGCAGATAAGTATACCGTATGCAAATGATAAGGAGGGCGAGGCAGAGCAAGAACAACAACAAGAAGAAAAGAAGGAAAAGATGATAACACCATTAAATACATCAACTGGAACAACAACAACAACAACAATAACAGCAGCAACAACACAAGAGCGAAAGATGTGTTTTGGCTTTGACTTTATGCGGCTCAGTTTTGCATCTATGGAGTCTGGAGAGACGGCCCGACTGACGCCTGTATTTGTGCAGTTGTTGGAGGAGTACGAGTCGTGGGGTGTCGGTACGACGAAGCGACTTCGTGAGTGAAGAAGAATAATAAAGAGAAAGATAAATGGATGAATACAATATATATATATATATATATATATATATATATAGAGAGAGAGAGAGAGAGAGAGAGAGAGATGACTTATTAATGGTTTTTTATTTCTCCTGCACTAAATGAGATAATGTGAGATTATCTTTGTTTTTTTTCTCTTTTTTTTGGTCTTGCAGCTGATTCTCTGTTGATAATAACAATAAATGTTGTTACTATTGTGGTTATATCTGGAAAATAATAACGGTGATGTTAATTGGAAAGGCAGAAGATGCATATGTGCATATATTTATATGAGCAGCAGAGGAACACACTTTTTTTTTTCTTTTTGCTACAGTATAAATGCAGTTGTTCGCTTTAATGCTTGATCTATTTATCATGTTTCTCTTTTCTTTTTTTTTTCTTTTTGGTTTTACGTGAGTGTCATTTTGTAATAACACTGTATTTACATAGATGTATAGATATACGGCTCATTTGATTATGTTATTATTATTATCATTATTATTATTATTATTATTGTTGCTTTCTTTAATAATATCCCTTATTTCTTCTTTTTTTCTTTTTCTTCCCCCTTTCCCCTCTCTTCTCTCTCTCTCTCTCTTTGTGTCCCGTTAATCAAAACGATTACACTCATATACATCACCATACAAATAACTCAGAAGAAGAGAGAGTTAAGACACACAAATACCTCTTCCTCTATTTTCATAGATTTCTCTTATTTGGCCGTACATAGAAGATAAATAAATAAGTATATATATACATATAGATATATATATATATACTGGCCAGTCTATAACACTTCTTCCCTTTTCCCCCACTCCCTTCTCCTTACTGGCATTAGGGATATAGGCGTTTGCATATATATTTTGGATCATTTCTTTACTTCTTTTTGTGTCGGGTTGTGTATTCTCTATCTATTTATATATTTATATTATTATTATCATTATTAGTACAACAGAGATGATGATGCTTCTTCGTCCAACACTACTCTTGCACGTTGCGAAACGCACTGCAGCCTCTAATGCCGTGCGTAATCGTGGGAAAAGGGCAACGGTAGTCACCACACCCATCACTGCAGCCACAGGACGTGGAATACAAATCCATGAGAACAGAAACACACCGTTGAGTAGTGAAAGTTGTTCAACAACAACAACAACTACTTCTACCAAAACAACAGCAACAACAGCAGCAGCTGGAGGGAAATTGTCAACATTATCTGGAAAGGTCGTTCCTGCAGGACAACGTAAATTGCAGCGTGCTGGTAGTACCCAACAAAAAGTTAGTACCAAACAAATGAATAATAATAATAGTAATAATAGTGGTAGTGGTAGTAGTAGTAAGATGATTGTGCCAACAAAGGCGACTACTCCATCTAGTGCTGTTACTATTGTCTCCAACTCTTCCAGTTTTGTTCCCGATTACCGTGAAAAGGTATTACAGATCTTTCAACGACTTGCAGAGATTAATAACGCCCTGCAGGAACGGTATAAGGCCCAATCCTATCAAATAGCTGTAGACAATCTAAAGAGGGATGATTACATCTTTCTACACATCCCACCAAACATCATTGCCCCTGGTGTGGATGATGCGAGGCGAAAGAAACTAATTGAGGCTGTGCATAATACACCGAAGGTTGGTGAGAAACTAAAAACAAAGATGATAGAGATACTCACAACAGGTGATCTTGCCGAATTGCATAGTCTACAGGCGAAACCTATTATTCGTGCAATTCAAGAACTCACACAAGTACATGGATTTGGTCCTCGCACGGCTGTGACTTTATATAAAAAGTATGGTGTCAAGTCTGTAGCGGAGTTGCAACAGCGTGTGAAGGATCAAGAGGCAAATAATAATAATAATAATAATAATAATAATAATAATAATAGTGTTGAGAAGAAACCCTATAGAAAGTCATCATCATCATCATCAAAAGGTGGTAATAATAATAATAATAATAATAATAATAATAATAATAATGATTCCATCTTGCATCTCACAGAGGCCCAACGTCTTGGATTGAAATACCATCGAGACATCTCTCAACGTATTCCACATGAGGAAGTTCGTTTACATGAAGCCTTTCTTAAACTGCGGTTGCGGAAGTATTTGGGAAAAGGATATGATCTCTCTATTTGCGGCAGCTACAGGCGAAGACTGCCAACGTCAGGGGATATAGATGTACTTATTACCCGTAAAACAGGTAATCATATAGATACTGTAAACCAAAAGAAGAATCTAAAAGGTGGTAATAATAATAATATTAATAATATTAATAGGCGTGGAGAGCGGGTGTTGGCACCACAGGAAGTTCTTGCTGCCTTTGTAGAGGCGTTAAAACAAGAACGGTATATTGAGGCTACACTTGCACAAGGATCCACAAAGTTTATGGGTGTTAGTCGATTGAAGAGTTACAACTATAATGCGGGAGCGACACATCCAAAACTGTATCCCGCACGTAGACTTGATATTCGTTTTGTAGAACCCGAATGTTTCCCTGCAGCCTTGTTGTATTTTACGGGAAGTAAAAATTTTAATGTTGTGATGCGGGCAGAGGCTATTAAACGGCGATATATATTAAACGAATATGGTTTATTCCGCAATGATGCTGTTAACTCAGCTACTGGGGATCATGATCCTAATAATAATAATAATGAGGATGATGAGGAAGAGGAGGATCATGTGGATAGTAAGAAGGATAGTCATCATAGTAGTAGTAAGAAAACCACTGGACGTGCACGTTGGAATGCAGAGACTTTTCAAAAGTTATTACGTGCCCAATACTACTCCGCTAAATCCCCTGCATTCGGAAATAACGATCATGATGTAAACAATGAGGATGAGGATGAAGAAGAGGATGCTGATGGGAATAATAATAATAATAATAATAGTGTAGGAGAGAAACATAATAATAATAATAGTAATAAGAAGAAGCCCAATAAACAACAACTACAACAGGAATTGGCGGCACTCTGGCGAGAAGTAGAGGCGCGGCGAGTGAAGGTCAAACACGAACGGGATGTCTTCGCAGCGTTAGGGATGACGTACGTACACCCCGAAAACCGTGAAGTCTGAGAAGGGAAAAGAGAAAGAAAGAAAGAAACAAAAAGAAGAAAAAAGTAAAGAAGAAAGAGAGAAAAAGAGAGGAGAAGAAGAGAAGAGAATACTTTTCTCTGTTTTTTATTTTGTGTGTACTGCATTTAGATGGCTTGAGAAAAAAGGGAAACAAAAAAAGCGAAACGAAAATCGAACTATTACATACAAAAACAAACACACAGGGATTCTCACACACATATATATATATATATATATATATATATATATATATATATGCATAGATTGATGTGTACAGGAAACTGGAACGGGTGAAATGGAAACATCAACAGCAACAAAAGAGAGAGGGAAAAGAAGAAAAAAAAGGAAAAACGATAGTATTAACGAAAAAGCAAAAGAAAAGAAAAGACCAAAAGGAGAATAATAATAATAATAATAATAATAATAATAATAATAATAATAATAATAATAACAAAAAAAGAAAGAAAAGAAACTGGGAATATCACATAAATGTATATGTATGTATGCATATACACAGCTGTTGGATCCCCCCTGTACCTTCATAGAAACTACTACTGCTATTACAACTATTACTACTTCAACTACGAGAATAACAGGAAGTATCTGCAGAAAATACCTTCTTCTTCTGTCTATCTGTCTGTTTCTACACACATATACACAGACATACAGAAATATATACATCTTTATATATATATGTACTTGCTTTTTTATTTTATTTTATT